CTGCAAATTCCGCGGAATTTGCAGAAATGCAGAAATGACGGACAAAGAAGTGATGGGGATCGATCGGTCCATCGGCATTTCTGCATATTCCACGGTTTTTGAAATCGATAGACATATTTTCTTTTTCTGCAAGTTCCGCGGTTCTCCCAATTCCGCAGGTCTGCAAATTCCGCAGTTCTGCACATTCCGTGGTTCTGCATTTCTGCATCATGTATGAACGCGGCCTAACCGGCGGGTAGCCGCCCGCGCGCACGGGTTACAGTATCCCACGCCAAAAATATGTGGGCTATGGGCTCTAGTTTTTGTGGATGGCCACAGCTTAGCAAGGGATGAAGTCTGCTTTCACCGCACGGCGGTCACGTCGCGCATAATCGGCTACGCACGTTAACGAACTATAAAAAACAACTGAATCCTAATTAGGGCATAACATCTTTGAGAGGACTCATCAAGGGGGGAGACGGGCAAGAGAATCGTAAATTGCCGCTTCGTCGCGCGCGGCAATGGGCGCGACGTTTCCTTAATTTGCACTACCTTTGATTGGAGCATCGGATTTCATGTAGACAAGGACATGGTAGACACTTATGTCCATTCTTGGTCATACATTGTCAGTCCTCGACCACACCTAAAATCGTCGTCATTGCGTGAAGCCAACTGGGCGGCGATTTACGATTTTCTTGCCACGTACCCCATCAGGTGAGGATACTTATCCAATTAAGAGATTAGCTGATCTAGACAAGTTGTCCCGTACGACTTGCGGAGATCTGCACTCTGTCGGTAGGACAAAGAGCGGAGGTGTGCTCAGCAGAGAAACTTTCACGAGCTACGAAGTAAATTTTTCGAGTCATTGATTCCCTTTGTTTCAGGCGCGCAGTATGCCCCCCTCTAACACGCTTTACGCCAGTTTTTGGGCGAAAGCTGGTTTAATTTCTGGAATACTTGTAGAAAGTCGGGTAAAAGTGCCACTGTGCTGGATAGTAGTACTAAAAGAAGAAACCTGGGGAGGGGGTTGTACTGGGGTGCGCACGTGCGACGCCGCGACTTTCAATTCACCTTTGTTCTTTAATGACGATGTTTCTGGGTCGTAGATGGCGAGTGCATAACCAGAGATAGCCATAAATGCCCACCATGTCGCCCTCTACATAAAAAAACGAGCATTTGGAAGACGAGAGTGGAATTGTATTTCTGCAACGGTGATGAAATATTGCAGGGAATACCTAGAATGACAAACTCTGAGCTTACTAGGGAGGCATTCCCTTTGTCAGAGCTGTTCATAGATCTTTTGGACGATAATCTTTAGAAAACCCAGTACCCAGACAACTCCAAAGATCTTATTTACCAAAGACTATTGGCCACATGAGTGTCATTTTGTCTGCGATTTTCGATGCCTCGGCAGCTGACCAGATGTACATAAACAAAGTGACTCTATCTCGAGCTGAAAACATGCATGGCAAGCTACTCCACATGCGGACAGCTCCGGAAATTTGCTAGTTTATTAGAAAAAAATTTCAAAGCACACTTTTGCAAAGACCAAACGCTTTGACTACGGTGTCTTCAGAGCATCAGAACTAATCTCTGATAACTGATACATCTCTCACAAAGGAAATGAGCTCCCTAAGACTTCCAATTCACCAGTGTTCTTTAATGTATTTTTATTTTTAGTGCCATTTTTTGCTTTCTTTGTTTTGCTTGATTTTTCTAAGATAATGCAGTGTCTTATAGACTAATGCCTGCGGAACAATTTTGCATGACCCTATGAATTTTGTAATGGAATTAATCTTTAGTATGCCCTGGCCCTGCAATACGCTTCGATTCCGGTACCTGGTTGGTGGCTTACTATCCTAGGAGAATTGTCTTCAGGACTGTACAGTCGATATTACCGCAATCAGTCGGGTCTCACTCAGCGGTTTCCCACTCAAGGCAGGGCACAAATCTATAATAGGGGGAGGGGGGTCGCATTTGGCCGCCAGGCGAGGGGGGGCGGTCGTATTGCGTGGGAAAATTTATTATTGATAGTTGATTTTTTCTCGCCTTCGATGGACGCTGCGAGTGGCTATTGGTCATTTTTGGGGGAGGGGGGGGGGCGTACAACTCCAAAAGAAAGGTAGGGGGGGGGTAGGGCTCCTACAGCAACGACTAGAAAACTCCCCAACAATGATGTTGCGCTGACTCGAGGCAATCATTTTCGTTTGTCGTCCTCGTAAGGACGCTCATCCCCACAAAAGGTGGCTTTGATAAATAGTCGTATCTCAGCATGGAAGGGAGAGTGCTATATATTAAGTACCCGGCACAACGGCAAAAGTACGAGTAGATGTGGACAAACAGTACGACCCCCTCCATCTTCACTTATTCCCAACGTTAGCTTTAGCAGTTTTTTCCAAAATTTCCGCCAAAAATCTTCCTAATTTTTCCCCACAGCGATGTAAACCAAGAAGAATACCTCGACCCGGAAAATCTTTTCACCCACATTGGGAAGCAAGCTAGACCCTTTCCCCAACAAGGACCAGAGTTACCAATGCCTCGCTCGCCTTTATAGACGTCGGCCGATGCAAGAGGGTTCAGTCATCAAAAAAAGGTTTTTAAACCAAATACGACCCTCCTCAGCGACCAAATACAACTCCCCTGATGGGAGATCCCAACGATGATGTGCCTTGTTACCGCGTGTGGTCTTTCCACCAGTGGTTGTTTTTCTTCAGTGGTGATCGAGGCCTCTTCAGTTCACATTGGTGAGGAAGGCAGTCGGACTCGCCCTGCTGACGCTGTCCCCAACAGATTGCAACGTTACACGGTACATTGTTCTCCATGGTCACATCCTGGATCGGCTCCCAGGCCAAAAAAAATTTTCATCCATCTGCGACTTCACCTCTGCACCAGTAATGTTTATGCAGGTAAAACAGTGATTTTCTCCACGGGTTTCTGCCCCCTCCCCCCTCCCAGCGACGTGATTGTCTAGGTTAAATATCTGTTGACAATCCACAATGGCAAACGGAAGCACAGCCCCAAAATAGAGTATGCGAAATCTCATCAGAAACTACTTCTCCATCCTTTTATTATGGAAAACCGCTTCAGCAATGCTTCAATTTGAACTTTTCATAGCTAGCTATAGACCCTTTCTACATGCATTATTTTACCTTTTTCTCTTCTGGATCACAGAGGATACAGCACTTCTTTCACCTCTGCTCCCTGACGGACATTTATCTTTTCATCAAAGCTATTTTTGCCCTTTATTTAGCATTTCTGGAATAAGCATGTCCTATGGATCAATGCCAAATGAGCGGAAAAATTTTGGTTTGTGCCTAAGAGTTTCTAATGGTTATTTATTTATTTACTTAACTGCGACAGGAGGCGTATACAGTACGAGTCTATAAGTCAATGACCTTTCCTAGAACCTGCCAATATTTAATAACTGTTCGGTTGTTTTCAGATGACTGAGGTACGGTAGGAAACACGGGAGGGAAGGTTCTTTTGGTTATGCAGGTATGCGATGGAAATGTTCATTTTCCACGGTATTTTGAGCAAGAATTTCTGCAATCGAGTGTGCAATATCAATTCCAATGACGACTGCGTCGAAAACTCAGGCCAAAACCAACAGGTTCAACTTAACACCTCAAAAGGCACAATAACCTAAACAGACTACTATACCAAATCTACAAGAACAGAGATGCTGAACCATAGAATGCCAACAGTTTCTTCTTTATTAGAGGTAGTATATGTAATGTCAAAACCTTGGAACTATTTCTCTAATAATAATAACCTAACAATGTTCACATCAACACCACATGTTCATCCTGAATTGTCAGTCGGGTAGACTCCCGATGATTCCACTTCGATCTCGGACGACTTGGGGAAGCACTCACAATACTGAAAAAACAATTGTTGATCTTTTGAGGCATTCTCTGGATTATAGTCGCGACTAGCCTTATAAAATATCATAGGATGTAGGAAATAGAAAAAATTCGGAATAAAGCAGTTGATCTTATTTCTATTCGAAGCCAGATTTGAATGCAGTTCGGCAAACACAGTAAATTACGGGGGTAGCTGGAGCCACAAGACTGTGGTCGATTTATCCTCTGAGACAGCCTCTAGAGTATTATCCAAACTCGGAGCTATGGAAGGCTCGGTTGGACCAAACGGGAGCCTACCCATTGTCTGACCTCAGAACTGTGTGCGTGGTAAGCAGTGCCACATACCGCTACATTTTTGTTAACGCAATGAAGAGGACTTTCCCAGTGACAGTGGAATTTTGAAGCACGAGAGGGCTCAAATCGTTGTTCTAAAGGGACTTTCGACGTATGCGGGAATGATTGTTTTCTTGTATGAGATGGGGAAGTCCGCGACTTCGGAAGTAAACGTCTTTTGCCACTCGAGAGTGTGCGGATATGAAGCTAGATGAATGTCACTGCTGGATGCTCTTGATGGCACCGCCTACACACGATATGAGCGGGTAGCAGATACGCAATACGCCACACGGCCAGCTATACTTTTAAGCTAGGCACTACTTGTATGCGCTCTGTCACTGAGCGCACTTACCGTTTTCTACCACATCGCTACAACGGCAAAGTCCTCGCGGCCGTACCTGGCAAGATGGCATATGTTTAGCGCATCGAATATCTGGCGAAGACATGTACACAGTCGTTTTTGCTGGAGACACTGAAGCGCGTTAGGGAATGAGTTTAGCGCCGCGCCAGTCCGTTTTACACCAACCGCAGCCTTTTGCCCGCTTTAACAATTGGTTGAGAACGAGCTGTGCCGCGCCAAGCCTAGCTCCCTGACACGCCTCACCGTCTGCAGTGAAAACGACTGTGAGCACTACCAGGCTGCCTCAACTCTCAGTTTTATTGCCGAGCACTTTCGAGAGGCCAAAATGTTCTAACCACTATGGACCTGCTCACCTCGAACTTGCGAAGGACCTTTCTCTCAAGTAACCTACAGTGTTCTTTGAGCGAACGAAAGCCATAATCTGAGCACTGTTAATTTCTTAAAACACTCACATGAACCCCCTCGGCTGGACGCCCAGGCGGTCCAGGAGGTCCTGGTGCCCCTGTTGCGCCCTCCATACGAGGCACTCCTGGCATACCCGTGTAACCAACGGCACCAGGTAACCCAGGAAGGCCGGGCTTCCCTCGTAGACCGGGAGGACCTTCTAGTCCAGGCAAGCCGAGGAGACCCTGAATAGAGAAAACAGCTTACAATGGCAATGGACTAATAAGTAACTCGCTACCTTGACACCCTGTCGAGGTTGGTATACCAAACCATCAACACCATTCGGCCCTGGTACTCCTGCTTCTCCGTCGGGTCCAGGCGGACCAATAGCGCCCATATCTCCTGGATAGCCTCGAGGACCATTCGATCCAGGTCGTCCCGGTCGTCCACGAGGACCACGGTGTCCTCTTTTCCCTGGAATCAATCAAAATTCGCTGGAGGAGAAATACTTATGTGATTGTTTGACACAGCATGGACTCACCCTGCACTCCATCGGCACCACGCGTCAGTTCGCCAGGAGAACACAATAGACCCATCTTTTGTGATTTTCTTGAAAGCCGCGATCTCCTTCAAACTCAAAGAGATTTGGCAGAGACTATAGAGCAATTCACCGAGTTCACTAGGAATGGCACAAAACCATCGTCAGGCAGTCATACCAATCGGACAGCCGTCTGTCCGTCTGGACCCTCTCTCGAGCCGGCCAGTGGTCAGGAGGCAAGAGTTGTTGAAGAGACATGCTCAAAATATCAACAGTGTTCGAAAGGTCACATTTTGAAGAGAGGATTGACAGTGAAGTTAAGTGCCAGTTTCTCGTCGTATTACATTTTTAGGAGTCGTGGACTTGTGGGACCAAGGTACCTCGGAGAGCCCGGATGGTCCGTGCAGACCGGGCTTAATGGATTACCTGAGGTCGTGGACCATGCGAACCCTCTAGTCATTTTTTTTCCAAGAGTGCCCGGTCCATCTAAGGGCTCCGACAAAAGAATGGGGGAGCAATTGAAACCGAATGGAAAATCTACACAGAATTCGCCAGCTTTCTGAGCAAGGATACCACGGAACAAGTTGTAACGAACAATTCCTTTCATTTCTATTCGTATCGCTTCTGTGCTATACGCCTGTAAGAGAGCTACGAACGATATCTGGCCTCTGATCACAATCTTTCCAGTCCAATGGAAATACCACCACACTTTTACTACAATTTTCGATGAACATGACCTCTACCGGAAGTTTTTTTCGTACTAATTAAAGACTCTTCCTACACATTTTTTGCCAGCTCATATGCGCTTTTTGGGTACAGTAACAATACTCCTTGGATGCAGGTTGGGGATCCACGTTTTGGCTACGCGCTGCAACTGGTAAGTATATCCTGGCTAATTGACTTGTTGCTGTAGCACTTCCAATTTGAAACAATTAGGTGGTAGGTGAAAGCTGAGTATGGAGTATGTCACGCCACATGCAACGGGCACGTTGCTGCAACGTGAGTCTGCGACTGCCACACTTACTCTTAAAATGCTTAATTACAACAAACTAAAATGATCTCGGTAGTGCATTGGTGTGTGGTAGAATTCCTCACCACATGACAAGTATGACAGTGAGGGCGGTGATGAAGCGTAGTCTTCATCTTGTATCGCTTCCAACTTGATTTCCTCCAGTACTTGCCTCCTTATCCTGGTCGACAGGGGAGACGATTCTGACAACAGGTTCATCTCCTTCCAAATGTAATCCGTATCCTCCTGTAGAAATAATTATTCGGAAAAAGAACCAGGAAACCCATTCAAAAATAAGACCCGTGAATTTGGTCCCCACATTTTCTTCGTAAAGTTACCTTGAGCTGATTTCAATTCAGAGATCATTTCGTCTTCGATAGATTCGATGTACGTGAAGAGCAATGCCGTCGCTGTAACCACGGTAAGCACTGCGGAGAAACCAGCAATCATAGCACACGTTAGAGAGCGAGGCTTCATCTTTTTTTCTAAAACTATTTATGTTGAGTCATCGCTATATATCACGGATCGAAATCCAATGCAGTCCACAACAATTGTATGGGACGGGATGTGGGCGGAGACGGCTAACACACCGTGCCGTCGTCATTGGTGCGCTGCTTCTTTGAAACGGTGAAGAGGAGAAAATGAGACAATCAGCCATTTCTCCTCCGTGCGGAATGTTCGCTGAATTACTGACAAGGGACAATTAAAACGAGAGAAGACTACTTCAAAGCAAACTGTTTTCTTAAGTTATTATAAGAGTCACTCATCCAGACGCCTATGCAATGCAACTCCATGGAGCGAGGATAGGTAGGTCCTTTCTTGTCAGCTATCAGAAATGGACAAAGTGCTACGGTGCCAGTTAGAGGGGTCAGCTACACAGCGCATATTCCTGCCCTTGCCTGCCCACACGATGCCAACAGTGGACTGAACACGTTACTTCTTTGTTGCCTGCTCTGCGTCGATACCGAGATTCGGCAGCAAAATGCGCACTTACTTTAGCGGTAGAGAACAACTAGGGTGTGCAGTTCGACCTTAACTTGTACGCTTGCTGGATCGACTGTCAACTAGAGGTGAGGAGGGTGGAAAAAGTGGTACGATTGGACATGCTTAGGCGTGTGGCTGGACGCATGCTAGCGCGGGCGGGGTTAAGAGAGTCGTAGCTGCTTTCACTGTCCTCCCAGCTCTTGTTCGCATGCGCGGTCGAGCGACGAAAAGTGGCCACGCTACTGCATCTGCAGAGCGCGCATTCGCCCCGCTATTGCATAGCCGACCAAGGATCCTATAGTGTGCAGTTCGCGATCCTTAACTTTTGTACGCTTGCTGAATCGACTGTTAACCTGTAATAGTGCCCCTCGGAAAGCTTGAGTCAATCAAATAGAGTGCGATGATGGTGGTCATCAAGTAGTGAAATTCTGATGATGGTCTCTTTGTGAGGATTAATGACTGAACTGCATATTGCCTGCTACGCCAACGGATTGAATAAGGTAAGCGGTCAAAGGGTTAGGGGCTGATTCTGATGAATGTGGCATCCATTTGACCCCGCTCGTTTCGTAGAGGTCTGGGTGATCTTGTGAACACCTTGAAGAGCCATCCAATGTCTGCATCAGTGCCTCTACCATTCGAACGATGTCATGCTTGCTTTCTTCCAGCGATATTCGAAAGTGGCTCCCTTGTTATACCTTTATCTTGACAAGCGATCAATTGCGGAAAATTTCCCGTCTCATGTTTTCTTGAAATGCACAAAAAGATATCTTTCAACTATTACAAGAAGAAGATGAAGGCGTTAAGTACACGCAGAGTTCAGGTAAGTAGGCTCTTCAACAGTACATCACTTTTCTGTACTCGAACATGTTTCGCGGTATACGGATAGGGCGGAGACTCACGAACAAGAAGAGAGTGGCTTATCGAATGTACAACGGCTTCTGGACCGGGATTTGGTCCCCGGACCGTTCGCGTGGTAAACTTACCACTTGCCACTACATCACCTCTACCTCTGAGATGACTTATACAATGTACCTCTGAGATGACTTATACGATGTCTTAACTTCGACCAGACTGGCGTTCTTCCAAACACCCATTGTCACCAGCTGGTTTCGAGTGGGGAGGATACATGACATTATATATAGTTTGTAACATTGCAATTTGTCGGGGGCGGCGAGCGCAGCGCGGCACGAGCTCGCGTCCGGCCGCCTTGCTCTACCAATGGTGATCGAGCAATGATCGATGTAGGAAGGAATCAGCCACTGGTGGGAAGGCCGCAGGTGGGAACCGCTGATTGCGACCCGACAGGTTGCGGTGACATAAACTGTAACCAAGAAAACTTCGAATAAAGGCTGCAAGTGCTTCTGGAAATGCAGTAGATCGGGCACCAGCACTCACTTTATAAGCCATTCCGTAATTAGGTCAATGAAGACACCTATTTCGCCTCAACTCTTCGAGAACTACATAAAACACACCCGAGACCGTGGCGACAACTATTAGTCCAGTGGGTTTACGACCAGCAAACGACTAGTGCATGTTCACAGCAAGTTTTATGTGACCACTGGCACACATAGTGGGGTGAGAAAAGGGGTTGCTACTGATTTTTTGCGATTAAAAGAAGGAATTTCAAAATACAAGTAATTTCAAAATTCATACAGAAATGTGGGGGAGGGGGTAGGAACGGAAAACAGGATGCGAATTTTTAACAATATAATGTTGCCTTTAGTAATCTACCGAGGCCAAGTTAACGTCGCACGATGCGCATGGGAATCCAAGATCACATTTCTA